TGCAGCTTCCTGGAGGCTCTGCATTGTGGTGGCTGGGGTCACCCAGTTCTTTCCTCTGCTCCTCTCTGGGGGGTGCGGTTCTCCCTGTTGGGAGACTCTTGGGGCTCCGGGCCTGTGGGCCGCTGTGTGTCTGTGGCTCCGGTCCTCCCTATGTTGCCATTGTGTCCTGGAGGGGCGGGTCTGTGGGCCCCCGCGTCCACTATTGGGCATTCTTTTGGAGAAATCTGGTGGTGGCGGGCGTGCTTGCGCGGGTGTTTGGATTCAGGTGCTTTGACAGATGCACGCTAGGTTGGGTAGTGGTGGAAGCTAGATGATTCCTTGTGCGATGTCGAATGTTTCATGGTGATATTGTGGGTGGCATTGTGCTGTGCATGTTGTTTTGTCGTGGTGGTCTCTCGTCTTATCTATTTCTCTTTTATTATTTATTTATTCTTCTTTCTTTAAAAAAAATAAAAAATAAATAAAAAAATTGAGCGATGATGATAAGTTCATTGAAACACTTCACAATGTTTCTACACTTAAACTGAGCTCAAAAAAAAAAAAAAAAAAGACAAGTCATTGTCCAAATGCACTCCCAGATATTTGTATGACTTGACCTGCTTGATGTTTTGTTCATGTTTATCTACATGGTTGTAACCTGGGGTCCACCAGTATCTCCACTGTCAACAGTTGATAGTCATCAAACAATCAACCCCAGATCTATGGCTGCCTAAGTTGGAGGTGGTTTCTAGCAGCTATAACAGGGTCATCTGAAGATTTTACCACATACTGGTCCAGCTGGGAGCAGGCACAATCTTTGGTATATAATATGAATTAAAATGGTGAGCTGACACAGTTCTGAGGGACTTCAGAATTATCTAAGGCAGCATTTGAGTACAAAGAGATGAATTTTACTTTCTGTGGCCTGTCTGACAAGAAAACATTGTTCCACTCAATGACAAATGAGTTTCCCTCCAACAGAGTCCTTTTTTAAAGAAGGATGTGCTGAATACTATTTTTAAAAAGTTTATTTTGGCTGCTCCTGCTTCAGGACTCGCACGAAGACTTGGTGATTGTTTTTACGCTGGATGTCCTTCCTGACTCAATCACAGATCACCGAGCTGCAACAACCCTCTGCGTGGAGCGGGGGGGCTGCCATGCCAGCTAGGGCGTGGGGGGGGGACTTGCTCACGGGTCTTTAACTCTTAACTTGGCGACCTTCTAATAATAATAAATGTGTTATGTGTTGTCATCATTGTATGTTCCCAGACAAAATGGTGAAATTGGCTCTCTGCATTTAACCCATCGCACCTGGGACACACTCAGGTGGAGCGGTGGGCGGCTGTTGGGGGCACGGGGGGGGGCAGTTGGCGATGGGGTGTGCTACTCAGAGATGCCACGAGATGTGCAATGACTGGGGAATGAACCTGGGACTTTCGGGTCCCAAGTCGGCTGCTCTGCCTCGACCCCATCTCGGCCCCCTTTGATCACAGGCTCACCTTCTCCAACCTCTGCACCACCACAGATACAAGTGAAGAGTTTGTGTTAAATATTTCCGATGATCATTTCAATCAGAGAACGGACATTATGTGATACTATTATAATCTGCTGTACTGTCACAGAGACATGATTTATGGTAGTGCCAAACAATTCTGCCAAGATATCACTCAGGAGAAGCTTCTCATTTTAAATCAGAACTTCCGACTTCTCTGTAATAATCTCTAATAATTTCAGACTTAATGAATTGTTGCCAAAGCACAGAAGAGGAGTGTGGTCCATCAGCACCGTTTACTGAAGGTATCGTTAAAACATCAAGAAAGGACTGTTCCAGTAGAACAAATGGTTTTAGATTCATTATTACAAACTACCTGGCCGGTGTGCTTTTTAAAGACTTCTCACCCAATACTGTAAGTGATCTTGTAGTTTTCTGAGCGTACTTTGGTACCCCCTAGTCAGGGGTTGCACTGTAGAAACAAACCCACCTAGCTGTTAGATCGGCCACATGCGGCCACATTTCTTCCATTTATCTGTTCAGTTAGCAAAGTTTCTTTTTGCAAATTACGGCAGAAAAGTTTGGGGAGAAGACACCTGATGAGGTGAAATGTTGGCGTGTCAAAGCACTGATGGACTTTTTACGAGCAAGGGGTCAGAAACGCAGCCTCTGATGTGTGTCCCATTAGTGTATGAATGTGATCTAACGCTCTGATTAGTCTCCAATTTACCATTTACTAACTACGAATAACAATAATACAAACCGGACTCCAAAAAAGTTGGGACACTAAACAAATTGTGAATAAAAATGGAATGCAATGATGTGGAGGTGCCAACATCTAAAATTTTATTCAGAATAGAACACAAATCACAGATCAAAAGTTTAAACTGAGAGAATGTATCATTTTAAGGGAAACATCTGTTTCCAAATTTCATGGCATCAACAAATCCCAAAAAAGTTGGGACAAGTCCATTTTTACCACTGTGTGGCATCCCCTCTTCTTCTTACAACACTTAACAGACGTCTGGGGACAGAGGAGACCAGTTTCTCAAGTTTAGAAATAGGAACGCTCTCCCATTCATGTCTAATACAGGCCTCTAACTGTTCAATGGTCTTGAGCCTTCTTTGTCGCACCTTCCTCTTTATGATGCGCCAAATGTTCTCTATAGGTGAAAGATCTAGACTGCAGGCTGGCCATTTCAGTACCCGGATCCTTCTCCTACGTAGCCATGATGTTGTGATTGCTGCAGAATGTGGTCTGGCATTATCGTGTTGAAAAATGCAGGGTCTTCCCTGAAAGAGATGACGTCTAGATGGGAGCATATGTTGTTCTAGAACCTGAACATAGTTCTTTGCATTAATTGTTCCTTTCCAGACATGCAAGCTGCCCATGCCACAAGCGCTCATGCAACCCCATACCATCAGTGATGCAGGCTTCTGAACGGAGCGTTGATAACAACTTGAGCTATCCTTGTCCTCTCTGGTCCAGATGACATGGCGTCCCGGTGTTCCATACAGAACTTCAAATCGTGACTCATCTGACCACATAACAGTCTTCCATTTTGCCACACTCCATTTTAAATGACCCCTGGCCCAGTGCAAACGTCTGAGCTTGTAGAGCTTGCTTAGAAATGGCTTCCTCTTTGCACTGTAGAGTTTCAGCTGGCAACGGCGGATGGCACGGTGGATTGTGTTCACTGACAATGCTTTCTGGAAGTATTCCTGAGCCCATTCTGTTATTTCCTTGACAGTGGCATTCCTGTTTGAGGTGCAGTGATGTTTAAGGGCCCGGAGATCACGAGCAACCAGTAGAGTTTTACGGCCTTGACCCTTACGCACAGTGATTGTTCCAGATTCTCTGAATCGTTTGATGATGTTATGCACGGTTGATGATGATAACTTAAAAGTCTTTACTATTTTACGCTGGGTAACACCATTCTGGTATTGCTACACTATCTTTCTGCGCAACAATGGTGGGATTGGTGATCCTCTTACCATCTTGGCTTCTGAGAGACACTGACACTCTGAGAAGCTCTTTTTATACCCAATCATGTTGTCAATTGACCTAATTAGTGTTAATTGGTCTTCCAACGCGCAGCACTGTGGCGCAACTGGTAGAGCTGCTGCCTCTCAGCGAGCAGGTCCTTGGTTCAAACCATGGTCCAGGGGCCTTTCTGGGTGGAGTTCGCATGTTCTCTCCATGCATGCGTGGGTTTCCTCCAGGTGCTCCGGTTTCCTCCCACAGACCAAAAACATGCATGTTAGGCTGATTGGTAACTCTAAATTGTCCCTAGGTGTGAGTGAGAATGTGAATGGTTGTTTGTCTCGTTTGTCTCTATGTGGCCCTGTGATGGACTTGCGACCCGTCCAGGGTGTACCCCGCCCCTCGCACAGTGATTGCTGGACATGGGCACCAGCGACCCCCGTGACCCAAAAATGGAATAAACGGGTAAAGATAATGGATGGATGGATGGATGGATGGATGGATGGATGGATGGTCTTCCAGCTGTTTGTTATATGCTCAAATTCCTTTTTCCAACCACTTATTGCTACTTGTCCCAACTTTCTTGGGATTTGTTGACACTGTGAAATTTTGAATCAACATATTTCTCCTTTAAAATGTTACATTTACTCAGATTAAACTTTTGATCTGTCATCTATGTTATATTAATAATAACATATTGACATTTGCCATCTCCACATCATTGCATTGTTTTTATTCACAATTTGTTTAGTGTCCCAACTTTTATGGAATCCGGTTTGTAGTTTATTCACTCAGTGATACATGTAATTTATTCACTGAGTGATACATGTAGTTTGTTCACTGAGTGATACATGTAGTTTATTCACTGAGTGATACATGTAGTTTGTTCACTGAATGATACATGTAGT